GTATAATTTCTATTAGAATTCTGTTACTGTCAGTGTGTTACATGTAACTTATCGCCAGCTGCCGTGGCACTGCCAGTGATGTGGTCGGCTTGATGTACTGTGTAGTTTTTGCCTGCGTTAATTAGTTACAGGTAGCAGCTCTCTCAGTTTCAGCCTGTAGGCTGCGTAGGTCAACTGCGTATGAGTGCTTACCTATTCCTGTCTTGCAAATGAGTTGTTGTACTAGTACGATGGAGCTTCATTTTTAATATCTAAAGACACTTAAAACTGACGCGCGAATCCCCTCGGTGCAACTGTTCATTAAGGCGTAACAAAAAAAATGTTTGTTTCCCGGTTACCGACGACCCTACCAAATAGTTGCCGACCCTAAAATTTTTTGACCAGCTTTTAAAAATGAAAATCAACAAATGCATTGATGACTTTAATATAAATTTAGATGAATTATATACGAAACATAACCCTGCACATTGCATCATGCATGCAGCCAATTAACTCACCTCTTATAAAAGTAAGAAATGTAACGAACATTGCGCGATGTTTACAAACGGAATACTAGCGAGTATGGGCCTCAGCGGCCGTTAACTAAGACAAAATAACGTCCTAAAATTTTTCAGGCAAAATTCAAATTTCTTTACCGGCCTGACCTACCTAGTTTGAAAAATCATGTAAGGCGCCGGAAACAAACAATTTTTTTTGTTACGCCTAACGATCCCAACGAACATTCCTTCGAGAAGGTTCCTGATACCATCCCTGTGCCTTTCACTGTTTCGGCGCGTATGTGAACACATTTGGGACTAACAGGGTTTACTAGAATCCCACCACTCCACCACAGAGTCACCGCAGTAGACGTGAGATGAGCGCTGTCGCTCCGCGGCACTTGTTTTTTTAAGGTGTGACACGACAGTGCAGTGCACCTAACTTATACACCTTGCTCTGCACTACAGATAGATATGTTTGCTCTGGGTGACCATTTGCCATACAGTCAGACTTTGAATCACCCATTTACTGTTGACACAGTGTTTCCATAGCTGTGTAATTTTGTCTTAGTGACAATATATGTTGATAAACATTCTTAAATGTTTGTATAAGTACATTATAATCAATTAGAATATGCAAGCCAGTGAGTAAATAAGGCAACCGAAGTTATATAGTAAATAGGAGCTAATCTTGTAGTATGTTTGTGGGAAGGGTGATCAAGCCAGTATGTTTAACACTGTAAATGCTTGAGACAACATGTATTCATATTTGGAATCATCTTTCATATTATTCTGTACTCATGTACATACTTTTAAAACTGGTACATTGTATCGTGTTCTCCGTGTATCTTTACCATATCAATTTCCCACATCCAGTGATATGGGCTAGTGCTTCTGGTCCTACTACAATTTACCTGATTTCTGCAAAGATTGTGTCCAACTCTTAAAAAAAATTCATTACCCTTTTATTAGGTTGTAGCACCTCTTTTTTAACTATGAGTTCAGGGGTAGAAATTGACTTTTGAACAAGGGAGTCCAACGGACTCCCTACCCTCAAAAAGAGGGAGTCCGCAGCAAAATGAGGGAGTTCGCAGTATGACGTTCAAAATTAAAGATATTAACAATAACGCATGTGCTAATTTTTAAGATTCATGCAGTTGCACTTCTGCCAAATTTTCTTTGGACATTAGCCGAAAAAATACAGTAATTCCGCGAGGCCGTGCTTCGGAACAAACTATAGTTAGTATGGCAGAATTTTCAGGGAGTCACACGGACTCCTGCATATGTCAAATCAGGGAGTCCGACAGTAAATCAGGGAGTATTTGACTCCAGACTCCCGTTAATTTCGCACCCTGTTAGTTGATGTCACATTTTCAATAGTACATAAATGGAAGTTCTCTATTCGTGTACTCATGACATTATGAGATGTTTCATTAAAATTTATTCTGATTACTTCAATGCATTCGTTTATGATAAATATATATAATACAGGTCTATAAGATACAGTGGACATCATGACTTTTTTTAGATACCATAGCAAAAAAAGGAGGCAACCACGGCACTTGCCATCAGCAGCATGGTTGCGGTTGAACCCTGCTTATAGTTGAAATAGGTATACCCAATCAGTGCTAAAGTGGAGTTCAAACATTCTAGGGCAGACGTGAGTTATTTTCTAGGACATGGCCCAAGGCACCTAACAAAAGACAATTTGAACAGTCATCTAGCAATCAGTGACATATTGATCCATGATAGTACTGGTAATTTCTTCTTCTTTACAAAGAACCAGCCAGTCTGTGCCACTGTATTTGGAAAATCCAGTAGAGACACGTGGCGTAGCCACGTGTACCAACATTGGGAAAACATTGATCCGTGCACATACACATAAATGAGATTGATGCAAGATTATGTAAATGTGTAACCTTCTGTATAATTTTAATTACCAAGCTCACTAACATTATTTTGATATCTATGTTATTCATGTGGTACTGCCTAAATAAAAACCACAGCAGTGTTAACAGACTTATAAATCAAGGGCAGCAAGCAGCGGTTTTGCCTCTAAAGGGTCAGGTTGCTGTCTGCTCTCAATGCCGGTAACCAATACTTTTCTTCCGAGAAATTCCTAATAAACCAAAGTAAACGCCCTGAAGTTACAGGCGATTTATATTAAAAACAATCGCTAGTTGATCAGGGTTGTTTTTTCGAATCTTCTTAATCCTAAGTTACTGCCTGTACTTCATTTGATTTGCAACTTTATCATGGGTGACTGTATTTGGTAGGGGTGGGGCGATCCAGGTAGGTCATGATTATACGATCCGTGTCACGATACAGACTTCGCGTTATGATACGTATTGTGATAGTTTCAAGAGAAACTACCTAGCAAACTATACACTCAATCAGGATTCTACCAATCATTTGAATGCTTACAAGTTGGTATCATGGAGCATTTGGTCAGCAACTGCTGTGAAATTACAAATTGTGTTGTTTCTTTTGGTTTTGGATGAAACTACGCCATAAAATTATATGGATCTTAGTCAGTAGAGTATCGATACATGTATGTATCGTCAAGGTTTGTATTATGATTTGTCGATATATCGATGAACCGGCCCACCCCTGATATTTAGAATGAACGAGCCAGGGGAAACTGGGCTAGTAAGCCAAACCAGCATCCTTAATCATGACAGGGGCAATAGGGCAGTACTGTTGGGGTTGGTGGGAGTGAAACTGTTATAATTTTTACAGGTTTCCTTGGTGAGTAAGTTTGCTGCTGGCTTTTCCTCTGGCAGCAAGTACTTTTGGATGGCAAAAAATCCATTTCTAAGCATGTGTTAACCGATAGCAGTAAAATGACTGAAGGTGGCCGTAGCATCGTTACCCAGCACATACACTCAAAAGCACGTTTCTCCGCTTTCAGGAATGGACGAAACGACAAAAAACCATAGCAACTGGAGCTAGTAAGTGATGATGAACCCATGGATGATGGTGAGGAGATGAGTGGCGTCGACAACTTGCAGGACTCGCAAAGCAGGGCATCGCAACGTAGGTACGCACTGCGTCAGCCGGCTCGCGAGCGACAGCGATCCCGCCACGACTCACTCGTTCACGACTCGGCCGCTGCCGCCGCCTCAAGCCTGCCGAGGAAGAAGACCGCCGCGCTCGTGGAGAACGGTATCGACGACAGCAGCGAGCTTCCGCTGACGGCCGACAGCGCCTTTCACCGACTGCCTGCGAAGAAACGCAGCCACCACTACAGGCACGTCGAGCGAGCGCTCGATCTGAGCGTCAGCGCCTGTGCGGGCACGAGCGACGCGGGCGAGTGTGCGACGAGGAGCGAGCAGCCGAGCAAGGCGCGCGCGCCGCCGCACGCAGACGCGAGCAGCAGCTCCGATCAGGAGGTGTCCTTCAGACTTCCAGCGAAGGCCAAGCGAAGGAAGCACCGGTCGCACGAAGATCCGCAACAGCAGGCGAGTAGCACGAGGAAGAGGTCGGCCACTGTCGGCTCTGTCACAGAGCTCGCGTCTCTGGGCAAGGAACCTGGCAGGCTAGAACTGCCCGCTGTGACGGACACGTTGAACGTCGTTCAATTGCCGTCCGAACGAAAGCAGAGACACTATTCTGGCAAGGGTCGGCACGCAAAGAGCGAGAAGCCTGACGTGAGTGGGAAAAGCTGTGCTGAAGCAGACGATTCGGCTCCAGTCTTAAGACGATCGACCCGTAAGCGGACGATAAGAATTCCTGAAATCGGTTTTGGCCTCGAGCCGCATCGTCCAAAGAAGCCCAAGCCGACCAAATCTGCAGCTTCCACAACCCAGGCAGCCGAGCAGCAGCCAGTCGGTGGGCAACTAGCACATAGCGGTGTTGCACTCAACGGCACTAAAAAGCCAGCAAAGCATAGTGCAAAGGCTAAAGTCCCTCGGCAGCAAAAAGGTTCGAAGTCTTCTTCGCGCGATAGCAAGCCGCTGTCGTTGCTTGTGGAGGTGCCACACACGAGCGTCGCAGCCGTCGGTGGCGAGGGCTTTCATGTAGCAAGCGACGGCGCATCCGCATCCACGTCGCTCGCAGTGCCGATCAAAAAGCGAGCCGTTAGCAGCTTAGTGTACCAGACGCACACGGTCGAGGAGGTGCGACCGCCCGTGCCCGCGAGAGGCAGACGGGCGAGCAGGCAGGAGCGCGGCAAGAAGCGAGAGACACTCGAGTCTAGCAGCGTACGGCGTAGCACACGCCAAACCAAGACAACGGGCTCGTGTGCGAGCAGCACCAGCCGGCGGTCCACCAGTGGCGGGAAGCGCACAACTGTCAGCACCACGGGTAACGCTGGGGGGACCATCCATCAGCCGCCGCAGGCATCGGGCACGATGTCCGCACCAGAGGGCAGTCGCGACGCAGGGCTGACGAGCGGCAGCGGCAGCAACGTACAGGCCGTGCCCGGCACATCCGCCGCCAGTGCGGCCGCTGCCCCGGCGGCGGCCGCCGGAACTGCTCGCGGCAGCGCGGCGGCGGCGGCGGCGGCAGCGGCGGCTAACTCCGGCGAGAGCGAGTCGGAGGATTCAGAGATGGGCCGGCTGCAGGCGCTGCTAGAGGCGCGCGGGCTGCCGCCGCACCTGTTCGGCGCGCTCGGCCCGCGCATGCACCAGCTGCTGCACCGCTCGATGGGCAGCAGCGCGAGCAACAAGGCACAGCAGCTGCTGGCTGGCCTCACGGCGACGGGCGACGAGGGGCAGCAGCTGCAGGCGGTCATCGAGATGTGTCAGCTGCTGGTGATGGGCAACGAGGACACGCTGAGCGGCTTCCCCGTCAAGCAGGTGGTGCCGGCGCTCGTCGCGCTGCTCAACATGGAGCACAACTTTGACATGATGAACCACGCGTGCCGAGCGCTCACCTACATGATGGAGGCGCTGCCGCGGTCCTCGGCCGTCGTCGTCGACGCCGTGCCCATCTTCCTCGAGAAGCTGCAGGTGATCCAGTGCATGGACGTCGCCGAGCAGTCGCTGACCGCGCTCGAGATGCTGTCACGCCGGCACAGCAAGTCGATCTTGCACGCGGCCGGCGTCTCCGCCTGCCTCACCTACCTCGACTTCTTTTCGATCAACGCGCAGCGGTCGGCGCTCGCCGTCTCGGCAAACTGCTGCCAGAGCATCACGCCGGACGAGTTTCACTACGTCGAGGACTCGCTTCCTCTGCTGACGAGCCGGCTCTCGCACCAGGACAAGAAGTCGGTGGAGAGCTGCTGCCTGTGCTTCTCGCGCATCGTCGAGAACCTGAGCGGAGACGAGAAGCTGCTGCTACGCATCGTCAACGGCAGCGACCCGCCGGGCGAGGCTGCGGCAGCGGCGACCGGGGTAGGCAAGGACGGCGGCGGCGGCGGCGGTGGCGGCGGCGGCTGCGGGTTGCTGCGCAGCATCCAGCGGCTGCTCGTCATCACCCCGCCCGTCGTCAGCACGAGCACGTTCATCATGGTGATCCGCATGCTGTCGACGATGTGCGCCAACTGCTCGGAGCTCGCCGTCCGCCTGCTGCGGCAGAACGTCGCCGACACGCTCAGCTTCCTGCTCGTCGTCAACGGCAACGGCGGCGGAGCGTCCGCGGAGTGTCCCGCCGTCGGCGCGTCTGCGGGGCAGGACGTCGAGCTGGTCGCGCGCAGCCCGCAGGAGCTCTACGAGCTGACGTCGCTCATCGGCGAGCTAATGCCGGCGCTGCCGTCCGACGGCGTGTTTGCGATCGACGCCGCGCTGCGCAAGGGCCACCAGGCGGCGGCCGACGTCGTCGTCTGGCAGTGGCGCGACGACCGCGACGTCTGGCACCCATACACGGCCATCGACAACAAGATAGCCGAGGCGGCGCACCAGTCCGGCGAGGACGAGATCAGCCTGTCGACGATGGGCCGCACGTACACGATCGACTTCCTCTCGATGCAGCAGATCAACGAGGAGACGGGCACGGTGCGGCCTGTGCAGCGGCACGCGAGCACGCAGAAGGGCGCAGCGGCGGGCGGCTCGGGCGCGGCGGGCGCCGGCAAGAGCGACCTTCGCGTCGACGTTCTCAAGGAGGACAAGGAGCTGGGCGCGGCGCTGATCCGTACGCTCTTCACGGTGCTGTACGAGGTGTACAGCTCGTCGGCGGGCCCCGCTGTGCGCCACCGCTGCCTCAAGGCTCTGCTGCGCATGATCTACTACGCCAATGCCGACCTGCTCAAGGAGATCCTGAAGAGTCAGGACGTGTCGAGTCACATCGCCGGCATGCTGTCGTCGAGTGACCTTCGCGTCGTCGTTGGCGCGCTGCAGATGGCCGACATCCTCATGCAGCGGCTGCCAGACGTCTTCGGCGTCTATTTTCGTCGTGAGGGCGTCATGCATCAGGTGAAGAAGCTGTCGCTGCTCGAGCAGCCAGCAGCCGCCGCCGCCGCGAGCCACAGGGACGGGTCACCGCGCCGCGTGTCGCCCGCCAGCCGCGAGTCGCCGAGGGAAGACGAGGCGAGTCTCGACGGCGAGCCGCGCGGGGAGCGGCGCGACTCGGACGCCGACGCCGACTCGCGCGCCGGCGGAAACTCGCAGATGCGGCTCAGCGACGTGCTGAAGCGCAAGCGGACGCCGCGGCGAGGCGCGTCGAAGCGTGCCGGCAAGAACGACAACGGCTCGGCGGCCGAGCTCGGCAAGCTGTTCGGGTCGTCGGCGCCGACGGGCCGCTCCATGCTGTCGACAGCCCGCGGGAAGTCCTCATCGGGGAAGGTGAGCGGCACGTCGCCGAAGACCTCCTTCCTGACTAGTCTGAACCCCACGCGGTGGGGGCGATCGAATTCTAGTCCCGCGGCGGAGCGGCCGACGTCGAAGGAGCAAGCGTTCGGTAAGTCGTCGTCGGCGGCGGTGGCGGCTGCGGCGGCGGCGCAGAACGACCGCGAAAAGATCCGTGTGTGGGTGAAGGAGCAGGCGGCAAAGCTCGAGCAGCGCTACTTCAGCGGCCTCGAGAACAACGACGCCAACCACCCGGCGCTGAGCGTGCTCAACCGGCTGTGCCTCGCGACGCGGAGGCTGCGCGACGAGGACGAGGACGAGGACGAGGACGCGGTCGCCGACGGCGACGGCGTCGTCGTCGCGGCGCTGCGCGAGATCTGCGCGATCATCACGGCGAGCGACGTGTCGCCGTTCGAGCTCATCCACAGCGGCATGGTCGCCGAGCTGCTGCGCTTCCTTGCGCGCCCCGAGCCGGGCAAGCGCCGCCGCCTGCAGCACTTCCTGCACATGTTTGTCGGCTGCCCGCCGCCCGGCGAGCACCTCGCGACGGCGACGGCGATGCTTGGTGGCACCCCCGCGCTCGGCGCGCTCGTCGCCAAGATGCACGCGTGCGTCAACCAGCTCGAGCAGTTTCCGGTGAAGGTGCACGACCTGCCCGGCGCGGGCGCAGCGAGCCGCGGCACGAACGCGATCAAGTTCTTCAACACGCACCAGCTGAAGTGCAACCTGCAGCGGCACCCGTCGTGCACGAACCTGCGCCAGTGGAAGGGGGGGCCTGTGAAGATCGACCCGCTCGCGCTCGTGCAGGCGATCGAGCGCTACCTGCTCATCCGCGGCTACGGCAAGCTGCGCGCCGACGACGGCGACGACGCATCCGACGACGACGCCTCGGACGACGACATCGACGACACGATGGCGGCCGTCTTCAGCAGCCAGAGCGGCGGCCGGCACAAGCTGCAGTTCACGATCGGCGAGCACGCGCTGCCCTACAACATCACCGTCTACCAGGCGATCCGGCAGCACGGCGCTATCGCCGACGACGGCCAGGAGACGGACACCGACTCGGAGCACCCGTTCGGCCGCACCAACATCTGGGTGCAGACGCACACGATCTGGTACCGCGCCGTCGCCGACGACGAACCACTCAACCTGAGCAGCGCGAGCACGATCAACGCGGTCGGCTCGGCGAGCGCCGGCGTCAGCCCGAAGAAGGGGAAGGCGGCGGCGGCGACGTCGAGCAAGGTGCTCTCGAAGAGCAAGAAGGAGGACCTGTGGTCGAACGGCGTCTGCCCGCCGACGTTCTCGCTGCTAGACGTCGCGCTGGCGCCGACGCTGCCTGAGGTCACGACGACGCGAGACCCGTCGCTCGACGTGATCGCCCTGCTACGCGTGCTCTACACGATCAACCGCTACTGGGGCACGCTGTACGAGCTGCCGACGTACGAGCCCGTCGTCGCCGCCGCTGAATTCGTCAACCACAAGATCACGGCGAAGGCGAACCGGCAGCTGCAGGACCCGCTGATGATCATCACGGCGCACATCCCGCCGTGGCTCCCCGAGATCGCGAACGCGTGCCCGTTCCTTTTCCCGTTCGACACGCGGCAGACGCTGTTCTACGCGACGTCGTTCGACCGTGACCGCGCGATGCAGCGGCTGCTCGACGCCGCGCCAGACCTGACGGCGGCCGACAGCGGCGAGCGCGTGACGCCGCGGCTCGAGCGCCGCAAGCGCACGGTTAGCCGCGACGAGCTGCTGCGGCAGGCCGAGCAGGTGATGAACGACCTCGCCGCGTCGAAGGCCGTGCTCGAGATCCAGTACGAGAACGAGGTCGGCACGGGCCTCGGACCGACGCTCGAGTTCTACGCGCTGGTGTCGCGCGAGGCTCAGCGCGCCGACCTGGAGCTGTGGCGCGGCGAGGCGACGCGCTTCGAGGATGCGCGCGGCGAGCAGAAGGACACGCTGTACGTGCACGCACCGCGCGGGCTCTTCCCGCTGCCGTTCGGGCGCGGCGCGAAAGCCGGCGCGACGGTGAAGGCGAAGGCCAAGTTCCGCTTCCTCGGCAAGTTTATGGCGAAGGCCGTCATGGACTCGCGGCTCGTCGACATTCCGCTCAGCCTCGCCTTCTACAAGTGGATGCTCGGCGAGGAGCAGAGCATGACGGCCGGCGACCTGTACGGCGTCGACCCGACGATGGCGCGCTCGTTCGCGCGGCTCGGCGACATGCTGCGGCAGAAGCGGCGGCTCGAGGACGACGCGTCGCACACGCGCGCGAGCCTGCAGCTCGCCATCGACGCGCTCACGATGGACGGCTGCTCGATCGACGACCTCAGCCTCAACCTGACGCTGCCCGGCTTCCCGAGCGTTGAGCTGCGCAAGGGCGGCAAGGACGCGTCGGTCGGCATCGGCAACCTCGACGACTACTACCGCCTCGTCGTGCACTGGACGCTCGTCGAGGGCGTGCGCAAGCAGATGGAGGCGTTCCGCGAGGGCTTCGAGTCGGTGTTCCCGCTCACGCAGCTGCGCCTGTTCTGCGCCGAGGAGCTGCACCAGCTGTTCTGCGGCAGCAGCGGCGAGTCGTGGGACGTGCGCACGCTGATGGAGTGCTGCAAGCCCGACCACGGCTACACGCACGACAGCCGCGCGATCAAGAACCTCTTTGAGATCCTTGCGTCGTACGGAGGCGACGAGCAGCGCCAGGTGCTGCAGTTCCTGACGGGCGCGCCGCGCCTGCCCGTCGGCGGCTTCAAGTCGCTGTCGCCGCCGCTGACGATCGTGCGCAAGACGTTCGAGGCGACGGAGAATCCGGACGACTACCTTCCGTCGGTGATGACCTGCGTCAACTACCTGAAGCTGCCCGACTACTCGAGCATCGTGACGATGCGCGAGAAGCTGCGCATTGCTGCTAAGGAAGGTCAGCTGTCGTTCCACCTCTCCTAACGAATGTGCACGAGGGCGCGCTCGCGCCACAGTTATTTCAACGTTTCGGGCGCGACGAGCCCGGACTAGAGGTGGTCCAATGCCTTTACGAAGTTGATTTTATGATGGAGGGAAGAAATTGTGCTTTATTACATGTTCCTTGAGGGTGCATTAAATGTTAGTAAAGAAGACAAGAACACATATCTGTGTGGATGTAACAGATGTGAGATGTAAAATGGCAGTTAAGTAGTTGCTGTGTGTGTGTGGGGGGATGGGGGGGGGTCTGCAGTGATGAATGGGATTCTCCTCTTTATAAACCAATCCTCGATTCCAAACCAATTTACAAATATAGAAACCGGTTGGAAGTCATTTTTTGTTCAGGTAAGTTCGCTATTGTGATTTGCTGTTTTTTCATGTCAACTAACTGGGAAATGTTATGGCCACATCTGCATGAGCTTGGCAAACTAAGGTTCATATATACGCATGCATCCTTGTAGGCAGCGATGCATCATTGGTGCAGTGCAGAGTGCAGGCATAGGGTTAATTAGCTATACAACCATGTAGCAAATGTCCTAAATAGTTGGCCATGAGCATCATCTGGTGGTATTGGCATAGAAAACTTATGAAGGATGTGTGATGTGGCGGTTGGAGTGTCCTAGTTTTGATGGTTGCAAGAGCAATAGCTACCAACGGTGAGTTCGCCCCTTGTAGTCTCGTCTCACAATCAATACAGTGCGACAGTGATACAGTGATTGGGCGTTTTTTAGTGGTAACATCATAGGTTACATTTGTAAATTACGCTTCAGTTAATTTAATAACAAAATTCAGTGTAATAGCTTTGTTAAATGTGGGTATTTTATTTGCTACAGGAAGCCGTCAGTTTAGGGACAGTGTGATTGGCCTGTAATTAAAGTTGAGAGAGCCATGTTGCCATGTGCCATTGAGACACTGGATTATTCCAGTAGCTATGGCTCTTACTTTAATGTGCAGGACAAATTTTTCATAAAATATGTGATAGACATATAGGTAATTGAACGTTTTGGTAAAATGGTAGTCTTCAGAGAAGTACAGAAATCTTGCTACATCTTGGTCCATCCAGCAGGCGAACATCACTTTACTTGATACGTAAGCGGTCTCTACATCGTCTGCTACGTCAGTTTGCCTTCAAAGGTTTGTATTTGGTTGCGGAAAGGTGCCGTATAAAGGTGTGATGTTGTGGACTAATATTATTAAATCTGTGTGGGTGTTAAAATGTTTGCAAATGATGTGCAGTTTCAATTGCCCTGTATATGATTCCGACTCCGTTTAAAGCTCAGGCGTGTTAGAACGTTTGTGATGGACGTTTTAGAATGTCAAACTGAGTATTACGTTCAGAACAGAATTAACGATAGAACCAATATTGCGGAGAAGAGTGCTTTTGTAGGATTCTGTCTGCATATGCGTGCGTGCGTGCGTGAGTGCGTGCTTGTGTGTATATATATACAAATAGCTGGTTGCATCTACAGTGTGGCAAGGCAGTTTCAACGCAGGTATGACGTATGTTATCAGTGCTCAGAGGTCGTATAGGCGTGTACAAACCTTTGCATTGTCGTCGCACAAACATAATTGTAATTAGTATTGTTATTCAACGTTTTACGCAAGCTAATAACGAATATGGATGCCTTTGAATTTTGTCGTAGGGTGTGAAGCTGTGTGACCTCTTTTTTAAGTCTTGGTGTTTACTTAGATTGTAATGGCGTATTGAAGCTGTTCTATTGGTCCAATCGGAACGTTGAACAGTTATTTTATGAAGCCTTCCAATTTCACTCACGCATGCTTGACATGCGACGCACTAAGAACATGCTATGTAGGCTGATAACATGGTATTGCACATTCTAGTTCAACACAGACATGTATTCTTCGAGTTTCAAACCAGCAGCACTTGAACCAGAATAAGAACAACAGAGTCAGTACTGTCATTTTTGTCAAATTTGTTTTGGCACTGCATGAAACGTAAATAAACCATAGCAGTCTATAATTGCTACGTGAAGCGTTATTACTGTTTTTATTCGACTCTTCTTTTAATCACTGATGCCCAGGACATTGTAAAACTTTATTGATTTATATACAGCCCCCAACAACATCAAGTAAGAAACCAATGTTTTCAGGCCATTATGTTTAAAACAGTAATATTCGTGACTACTCTGTACTTGTATGTAGTGTAACCTTAGTCCACCATTGAAAATTGTCTTCAGGGTATTATCTTCCTTTATCGAAGAGAGAAGAGCACAACACAGGCACTTGGAGCGTTTCAATAAAATATAATGCTAAATAAATACGAAATCTATTTACTACCAGTCTTAATGTTTCTCTACTCTCCTTCGCCTATTATTGCCGACAATTTCCTGTAAATGCCGTGCAAATTCTCCTCTGCAACACGTACACCGCGCGCACTCTGCCGCACACAGACACACATACAGCATTTACAGGAAATTGTCGGCAATAATAGGCGAAAGATAGTAGAGAAACATTAAGACTGGAAGTAAATAGATTTCGTATTTATTTAGCATTATATTTCATTGAAACGCTCCAAGTGCCTGTGGAGCACCAAGCCCGTAGTGGCCTCCCAAAAAGTGCCACTGCAGAAATATGTAGCCGATGCGAGGGGTCTGGGGGTCTGTATTCCCCCAGAAAATTTTTGAAATGTAGAGCATTGAAATGTATGGCATTTCCTGCATTTTCAGGCTATGTTGAAAGCAACCAATTCTGATCATTTTAAAAGGTCAATTTGTAAATTTCAAAGAGGAATGTAGCTAAAGCTGATGTTTTGACTAAAGTATCTAAAATATATATTATGAGTATGATAACTAATAAAACATTATTTACAAACTTGTATATCAATTTAATGAAAAATAAGCCTATTTTCATTCTGCATTTATACTTTCACTATGTACATCTGTATGTTTTGAAGTTTGAATTTGAATAGGCACATTGTCAGATTAAATACACATTCCAAATTTTAGAGCACTGATATAACACCTCTAATTGATCAGTATTAATAGTAATACCAGACAGTCCAGTCAGATAACTTGTCATTTTATTTATTTTTTATTCCAATTTTATCTTTTCTGCCTGGATGGCAACTTACAAATTCTGAAATTACATTTTGTTCATCTATCTTGTCTAACATGTCTCGGTGCCAAGCATGACCATTGCATTGTTGAGCCTTAACTGGGTCGTGCTGTGTCGGGGGGGGGCACTCCATATATATTGCATGGTAGGTATGTTCCGCGGGAGAGACCCTTATTTTCAACCCTAACCCTAAACTTCCGTTCCAGTGCATCGCATTTTTAAGAATATCTCGTTCCAGAGCATTAAGTTTAGTTACCATGCAGATCTTACATTTTGCCGTCCCGGAGACCCTAGTATTTTAATATTTCCGTTCCAGTGCATCGTACTTTAGAATACGTTGAAGCCGAGGGGGGGCACTCCATATATATTGCATGGTAGGTATGTGCCGCGGGAGAGACCCCTATTTTCAACCCTAACCCTAAACTTCCGTTCCAGTGCATCGCATTTTTAAGAATATCTCGGTCCAGAGCATTAAGTTTAGTTACCATGCAGATCTTGCATTTTTGCTGTTCCGGAGACCCTAGTTTTTGTTACTATTTCCGTTCCAGTGCATCGTACTTCAGAATACGTTGAAGCCGGGCCGTCAAGGCATGCATGCAACGTGTGTGTGTTGTATCAACTTGTATGTGTGCGTGCGTGTGTTGTCTGTGTGTGCGTGTGCGTGTGCGTGTGCTGTGCGTGCGTTCATCTCTCTCCGGGTCATGTTTTTTCTCCTCTACATAATACAACAATTATTGGTTCAAGTGCTACAGCATAGATTTTAAAGCAAATCACAGTTCCGGAGACCCCCTCTTTTAAACGTGTCCAGTGTCATAGCATTGAAATTCAACGAAATCCTTGTTCCGGAGACCCCCATTTTCGAACATAGCTAGTTCCAGAGCATACCACATTCAACAAACATTAGTTCCAGAGACCCCCATTTTCAGGTCTGAGTTAGTTCCAGAGCCCCCCCCCCCCATTTTTGACTTTTCATTGGCACATAGGGCCTACCTACCATAATGTGGGGTGAGTGCCCCACCCCCGGGGGTTCATGTCCTTGGTATATGTTGCCCCTTGGTTCCCTGCAGAATTTCTTTTTTCAAAATAGTGCCACGGCAGTGCCGTGCTGCCGTGGCGGCCACTACGGCCCTGAGCACAATAGCTCTTGGCTGTAACACCAAGGCACCTATAGTATTACCACGATTATACCATAATAATATCAAGAGCAATATAATAGAATATATAAATCTATTATTAACTCTAATGACTATATAACCTATGACTCTATGACCTAAACCTGACCTATATCTATATAACCTAATGACTCTATAATCTATGACTAAGCAATGCAATGGCGTTTTTGCTGCTACGCACATACTATTCAGAATTTCCACAAAAGCCTGCCAAGTGCCACAGATTACACCATGTAGAAATTTCATTTAATTAATCTAAATTATAACTGTATGGAGCATACAACCACATTTATATATTGTATTATAATATAAAATTTACGTAGACTAAGGGTTAGTCCATCTGTCAGACATTTGATTCTTTGTTTTTAATTTCAATTTGTCATTTTAAAAGTAAACTGAACGTGCTGTGCAGAGATACATAAAGTATAATACGTAGTGTGAATTGTTATATCAATATAACTTTTACCAATCACTCCATTTTAACTAAGCTTTACACTCAATACAAACTTGTGCCAATACTTCAAGATATCAATTAAATACATGACTGTGGCTCGACTCAAATGAACATGCATCATCATTACAAATTCGCCAGTGAAACTGCAGGAAACAAAATCACGAGTGGTGCGTTAAATAATTGGGTACAATACAAATAGTACATTAATCGGGCTGTATAGCACACGGTGTGCATGCATGAGTGCGTGCGTGTGTAGATATATAATTAATTCCCAATATTTTTTAGTTTGCTGCAGATAATAAGCTTAGACTATCCCATAAACCTACACAGAACGTATAGGTGTCTATTACAAAATCTATACAGCACTAACAATACGAAAATTATACTGTCTTATTATAACATGCTGAACAGAAACGAATACCCAAGTTCACAATGTTTTCTAGAGTCTACTTGCTCTTGATAAAACCCACGCACACATTGACACGTTGCACATGCCTATTATTTGGATTACTTATTCATCAATTTACAACAATTTATCATCTCAATAAATTACAGCTCATCTTGCTCACTGTCCAATATTTTTACATTCACCATACCTCGACTGTTTTGACAATAGATTCAGTATGCAAATCTACGACACAGTTGATGTTGCTGTGGCAGACTGATGGCAGTGGCCCTATACTGACACCACTCAATCGTTTGAATCATTTTGCAATTGCCTGCGAATAAAATATAAATGAAGTGCACTAATGTGTCACTTCGAGCCCTTTTATAAAAACTACTAAAGTTCTTGATCTCACTCTGAATTACATTACATCTGAAACGGTGTACATCTCACGTGTTTGGTGGAAGTTTTATCAACTCAAACTGTACTGCCTACAAGTGCATAAATGGCAACAAATATGACTGTGTTCAAGTAACAATAGTAACAAATATCTATGCACTGCCCAGCAGATCTCAAGTTCTTACCCCAGTGTTGTGTAAACAAAACGATGGGTAATCACCATTTGCTTTAGTACACAAGAGCTGTTTTGCCTCATAAACTTCCTAAGCGTGGGGGCAGGATTTTGTTATACGTGAAACAGCTAAGGAATACCTTTTTATACTTTCATGAAATAAAAATCACTTAAGATTCGATTAAGCTTGATGAATCATTTTGTTCTACATATATTATCACATATATGTTAAGGTTATTTACAGTTACTAGGCATATCTTTAATTTTCTCAAACAACAATTGAGGCAAGGTGGGCAGCTTTGACCCCTCTACCGATTACCGAAAACTAAGCTCTGAAAAAGGGCTGAGCTTGCATTATGGCAAATTGCCACCACTAGATATATAGTGCACGACCTTGGTATCCCAGCATCACATGCACGCACGTGAGGATGTGGTGAATTAAAGAAACTCTTACCAAAAAGGTATATCACGACCAAACTTCCCCCAAGCACATAACCCCAACGTGCAATTGTACCTGCCAAAAAACACTATAGACTAACTGGTGGTCAAGCTATCATACGAAATGTCACTGTGGATACTCTTAATACATTACAGTTTGGCAGGGCGAAACCAGTGCAACAAAACATCATATATTGTGCATAAATTTTATAACTTGTCTGTTTAAAAACTCCGTGTATTGTAACAAAGGTAAACGTATGTAGTTGATAAGTAAAATGTTGAAACAGACACTCAAAATGTAAATTTTGCTCGTGATGAGTCACGGTAAAAAGGTACTTTTGACGTAGGTGAAAATAGGTAGCATTTGGCAATTGTACATTCTTGTAGTGAGATACCTTTTTAGTTACACTATGCTGAAAATTCGAGCAGCAATGTGTGCATTGGTCTGTGTCAATTGTACATGCTAACTGACTATATGCCAAACGTACAGATATCATGTGTAACTGTGACATGGCATGACTAAGTTTTTTTTATTTCATGGGCTTGTCAAAATTTGGGGTTATGATAGATGGCACTGGGGTCAAAAGGCTACCATCCAATGCTGCATCGCCTTCCAATTGCTGATCTACCTTTTCACTCAGCATCTGATTGGGTTCTCCGGTCAGAGGATCAAGAAATGGGTCGTCGAAGTCGGGCAGACCCAGCATATCTAGTGGCGAGGTGTATTGTATCACTTCATTCCCTGCAAACATTGGTACAAACTCATTACACAACTATCCCAACATCTGCCAACATTTCCAGACATGTCCGATTACTTTACCAACTTTTGGCACACAGTCTGGTATTGCAAAAATGTCTAGTAAGAGAATGCAATGTAACATATAGCTGTCACTTGCCATATATACATTCACGCACACCCATGTGCACACACCAAAGACTAAGGGACAGACACACAGATGCACACAGAAAACCACAAATCAAGTAATCTATGTCCCTGAAATGATTAATAGGTAGCCCTAGCCAATCAGCATTTCAACGGGTCATTCTAAAAAAAACTACTTGCTAACTAAGTCATGTAAGTGCAACAAAGTCAGCAATATGGCGTGTATGCATAAAATAACATATAAATTGGTCTAGTTTGATCATGATGACCTAGCAACACAATCCA